AGGTTTTCATCTATCAAATAACGTATTATATTATGTTGTTTTCTGAATGGAGAATTGTCAATTTCTCTGTTAGTACAAGTCCTATAGGAAAGATAACAACTAGCTTGGATGAATTTGTAATGGCTCTTGTCGCATAGTTCGAAAAAAAAGAAAAATTGTGAGAGTTTAGAAAAATTATTTGCTTTTTGCATGTTATTATTCTATGTTATTTGGTGGATTATTTAATTAAATAAAAATTATTTAGTGCTTTATTACCATTAGTACAAAAAAAGTAGGGTTAAGTGTCATTTACAGTTTACAGCAAAAAAAAAAGAAGGCCCAGGTAAGTACTTCATTTCTTGGTTTTCATGTTTATTCTTTATTTATTTATTATTATAAAAGCAACTAAAATGTAAAAACAGAGATCTCTTTAGGTTAGTTAAGGTTAGATTAGGTAAAATAAATAATAATAATATAATAAAAATATTTTATGAGGCACACATGCAAGCAGCTCATGGTTATATAAATTGATAGCATAATGTTCCCAAAGTGATTTACAACTTATAATGCCACGAATAGTAATTAGACATGATGCAAAGGGCAATAAAACAATAAAATTTAAATATAAATAGATGTATAATGTTATGAGTTTAAAGCTACTTAGGATAAACAAATGTAGTTTCATGTTACAATCTGAAGTCATAATAGAAAGAAAAAAAAGGGTAATTTAGATTTCTTCTGAAACATTTGAAATGTGTTTAGGAGGTTTTATAGATTACACAAATGAAATTTGAGATTTTTGAGATGAAGAAAAGTATTTTTAATCTTAACATGAAAATCAAATGTTTTTTTTTATAAGTATTTCTATATAAATTACACATTTCACAAAGATTTTTTAGTACTTTAAAATTTTTATTTTTTTATAATATTTTTAAGAATTTTGATACTCTTTTTCTCAAAAGAAATTCAATTACTTTGAAACTGTTTGTATTTTCTCCTAACCTTATGGAGTCCATCCTTTTAAAATAAACTCAGATAACTTGTGGACTACTTAGTTAACTTCTGTTTTTCTTTCCCACTTATATTTAGAATTTTAATGCAAAGCTACACAAGGTCTATGTATGCACAAAGTCATCCCTAATTATTTAACTGATAAGACTAGATGAAAGGCAGCTAGTCAATAGTACCCCTCACCAACTCTTGTGTCTGACTGAATAGTGGAATTTGACCATTACTTCATATTAATTAACAACTCGCTAATTAGAGAAAAAAAATTTATGTTACTCTATAGAATAATGGCTGGAGACGGCTTCAATGGGTAATGAAGAAAAACTTTAATACAAGTTTAATATAACAGCAAATGTACAATGTTTCGACAAGGTTTTGTCATCATCAGGTACCTTGTTGAAACATTGTACATTTGCTGTTATGTTAAACTTATATTAAAGTTTTTCTTCATTACCCATTCAAGCCATCTCCAACCATTATTGGTCTCAAAGTGGGTTCCTCGTCACCGAATTTACTCTACAGAATTTTGTGGAACATAATCCCATTTACCTGTTCCTCTAATTTCAGTTAAATATGCTACATGGGGTACTATATCATTGGAGCCTATCCACTAAGATATTAACACGTACAAAATAATGCAAAATCTAAATAATAATACATTGCTTCCAAAAACTAAATATGTAACGTACACAACACTTGAATAATTATCTTTCAAAATAAAAACAACATTTCTAATCTTCAAAATACTAACAAATAAAAACAACATTCTCCTCCACTCACTGAAAAAAAAAAAAAAGAAGGAAGAAGTGATACCTGGATTCCAGTGACCATGACAACTATGCTAACACGATGTTCCCAAATCATCTGCCAGAAACTGTGGACCGTGTTTGAGAGTGGGGCCTGAGCAGCAATATAGAATCTCTGGACTCCACCTATACTCACCTGTATGTGTTTTTATAAGATCTTTCATAACAAGTCAATTTATATGTTATTATGATTTTCAAATAAAGTTTCTCTTAACAAAACTTCTAACATTCCATTCAGTAATAATACTAGACAGTTTTTTGGACATTTCTCTCTTTTTTCCACCTACTAGCCTAACCTGGTTAATTTATGGTCTTAGGTTATGAATGAGTAAGCTCTTTATTATGAAGGCTTTGTTCTTTATAGATCCTTGTTTAGATATTAAAATAATGAATAAAATCTCTGTTTTTAACAGAGCTTACTCATTCATAAGCTAATGCTGAAAATTAACCATGCTAGTTCAGCTTATAAATTAGTGCTTGTTTTATAACCTTAAAGAAACTTTTTTGTAATTATAATTAGTTTACCTACTAAGTGATAATTTTGTCTGAATAACATCTCAATTACTGACAGACCTAATAAAAAAAACATAAAGCTTTTAACACATAATCAGGGTAACCAAAGATTTCCAACACTCCATTGTGAATGCGTATCCATTTTCTGATCATTATGAGTAATTTGATGCTGGTTCTAAAAATCACGTTGAAAATTACTAATCGCCTCTAGTTTTGAGTTATGACAGATCTATTCAAAATATTCTTATGTGTCGTGAAAATGACAAATTTTTTTAATAACTTTATATATTCATTGAAAAATTGCATTTAAGAATGTTCAAAAACAATACATAATAGCAATACCATTTAGAAACTTAATGAGTATAATAAGATTATATACTGAGAAAACATTCAGAGACACAAAAAGCAACAATGTTTGGTATATCTACTTTGCAGGCCTAGCAGGAGTGCAATAACTTTCGGACCACCACACGTGTTACCTATTTGATGGCCTCAAATATAATCTGCATGCATTGATAACTTTCTTTCATGTTCACAGCTCGAGCAACAGGAATCGATGGCTTAGTATTCCCACTGTGCAAAAATACAGCTTTCAGACTAACTTTAGATGAGTTGATAAAAGTCTCCAATCTTAAAGATGATGTTAAGTACCTATTTCTTCCATTAGTGCAACAACATTTGTACAGAAACACAAAGTATCTTCCATGCTGTAGTGAGAAGCAAGACTTTGATGGTGACTTTGGTAAACTGAAACTTTTGTAGCTGGAGCTAATATATTCTATTGCTGTAAATGAGAGCTAAGAAGTTCCCCATGTTTCTTTGATATAGACAAGTCACAAATCAGATCATTTAGCTCTTCTTGTGTGATCAAATGAGACAGGTTATGTTGAGGTGCCACAGGAATAGAATTACAAGATGAAGAGAGTGAAAATGGTTCATTGTCTTCTTCTTAGGATAACTCTCTTTCTCGATTTGCTGGTGGATGTGGCACTGGAAGACCATCCCCATGAGGTACTGGTTTCATTGCAGATGCAATATCTGGATATTTAATGTATTGTTTAGTTTTGCCTGAATATCCAGAAACATTAGCCATGCAAAAATAATTGTTCATTACATGATCTTTTGGCTCACACCATATCATGGGAACTGCAAATGGCATACTTGCTCTCCTCTTATTCAGCCACTGTGTCAAGCCAGATGTGCAAACTGTACAACACGCATTTGGAGCATCAATTTTACACCCAAAATAGTGATAAAAAGCTACTTTTAAGTTGTGTTTGATGTTTTTCCTTCATGAAACTGTAATATATTTTCCACAAGTGTATCAGAAACTGTTTGGGTGATTTTTGCACTTTTTGTGTACAGAACTAGAATTTAAAAAACAAAGTTTTGCAGAATTTTATTATATCGCAGGCATGATGCAAGGAAGAAGATCGGATTTTGTTTTGACTGTGCTCGGAGTGAAGTGAAGTGACCAACTGAGTGAGTGAGAGGTGTCTGACTCCACCCCTTTTATGGTCAGACGAGGGAATTCTTGAATGTTCTAGCAAACTGAGCATGTGAGGATTTTGTGATTTCTTGATGGAACAGGTGAGAGTGGGAATGAAGGAAAAGTGGTAAAATTTGCTACAATTATATCAAGAACAAATAGCATATATAAAGAATATATTTGGACTTTTACACCAAATACAATAGAGGCAATGTTTGAAGTTATCAAAAATGTATGCCTTTTACCCATTAAGTTGTCCAAGTAAACTTAATTTCACAGCATAAATCTATTGTACTGAGTTGATTGCATGATATTTCATGTAGTGCTGGTAATATATTAAGATATTAAATTAACTTAATAATTATGGACAAATTCTGACTATATTTTTGAAACCAGCATCATCAAATTACCCCAAATCACTTGAGATTTCTCTAGTAGGATATGTTTTGTTGTCCAGTGTAATCTTTTATATAACAAAAAGATCCAATTTCTTTCTGAATAATTAAAAATGGGTGTGAGATGGCTTTTTTTTTTAATACAGTACTTCAGACTCATTTACAAGCTTATAATACTTACAGTTATATGAGAGGCATTGATGTATCCAGTCTTATTCTCTTTATTAGGTGTCAAACGAACCCTGTTTTCCTCGTAAGGAAGGACATCTTTGAATCGGTTCCTGCTAATATTTTCTGGGAGTAAAGCAGTAAGGATCTGTGTTGTAGGTTTCTTTTTGATGATCTGTTCAAACTCTAAGAAAACCTCCCCCTCTCCAAGCTTGCTTTCCAGCATCTGAATCTACACATACAATATAGGTAACACAGAATAAAGTCTGACTTTAAAATAGACAGCAAGTCTCCTGATGGAGTAAGTTACCAACTGAAGAGTTGAGTTTTGAAATACAACACCTTAATCTGAATAAGATATGTTAAGTTTACCACCAATAAACAACATCCTATTAACAAAGGATGTGTTAGTAATGGAAAATATTATCCTAGTAATTAAGCTCAAAGTCAAATATAACATCCAATTAACATACTGGGTCTTAGTAGCAACAACATTAAACAAAAAAGATGAACAACTTATTAAGAGTAAAAATTAAATCTTATACAAAGAAACATGACAGTAATATGTAACAATGGTAATTAAAAACAAAGTTAACTTAAGAATAACAGTTATAAAAGTCTTGATCATTGGTTATGAAATATTTACTTTTGTATCCCTTGGGGAGTTCACTCCATCTTGTCTGGACTGAAGCATATCTGGGGGGGATAAAGTAAGTCCATTCATAGCTGCCACCATCATTGGGCCCATGGCATGTGCATAGGTGGGGGTTCCTCCCCCTTGTGGTGCTGAGACACTCCCTATTCGTGAACTCTGTATGGGTACTGCATCAGTATCAGTTCTCATTTTAATGTGATCATCTTGTAGGAAGGTTACTGGGGTGTTAGATTCTAGGGGAGAGGGGTTTTCAAAGACTTTATTCTCTATCTGATGTTGTAGATTCTGGGACACACCAGAAAGGCCAGGGGGACCAACAGCTGAGAAGGAGGGAAGTGATGGTAAGCTCACTCGAGGTTCACCGAACGTGGTGTCAGGCACACACTGAGGTAACACATCCATGTTTATAGCTGCCTTCTGTGGTACTATCTCCATACTTTGAGCTGGATGAGGAGGTGGTACAAACTGCTTAGTAACAGCAGGATCATTGGTATAGATGCTGGGTTCAGAGCCAAGTTTCATGCCCATAGCATTATGCTGATGATTTTCTCCAGAAGCTATGATATATGGGTAGTTACTAAGGTTCCTACGAGACACCAAGTCTGGACTAGTACTTGTTACCTGAATGAAGAGAAATAAAGAAAAAATAATAATTTACCGATTTACTTATAATGTCAAAATATTTATGGATTTGAGCAATTATTACACAAAGATCTAGTAAAATAAGTTGATAACAGAAAACTTTATATTGTAGGTGTAAATAATCTTTAATCAATTGCTCTATTGCAGTATACACAACACTAACTATCACGCTTTCTCATGTACATTATCATTCTGAGCAGTATTAGTGCTTGAACTTGGTGGATCTAGCCTTATTCTCTCTACATTTGGAGGTTTATTGAACAATTACACAATAATGTGTTTATTTTAAAACCAAATTAACCATATTTATACATTTGATGTTTTCAAAAGTTATCAAAACAAAGTAATCTGACCTCAATTTCTGACATGTAACTCTCATACACACCTTTGAATGTAAATAATATAAATGTTTGTAGTAGTCATAAGTGTATTTGTATACTGCTGCTTAACTCTCTCAACATGGGCTCGGTCAATTTGACCGACTACGTGACCTCTTTGTACTAGGTTAATCTCTATAGATTCAATACTTCTAACTTTCAATATAGTGTGTATATGTTCACAAAATTTGGCAGTCTTTCAGTTAATATTACAAGTCTTTCAAATACAAAAATAATAATTTTTAATGAAGTATTTTAATAAACTAAAATAAAAATTTGTCCTTGAATATATTGAGTATTTGTTTTGAATAGTCCTTGTGCAAAGTGACCAGGTGGTAGCACTGCCTATTGTTCATCAAGATGGTATTTTAAATACCTTCTTAATAGGTCATCAGAATTTTGCAATGCTATATACTGTTTCCATTTATAACAATATATATGTAATGACTGAGTCATAAGTTCTAGGAATGTCTGTAAATATCATACCAAAAGTTTAAATTTCTTGTTCTTTCTTTTGCTTTTTTATTACATGATAACTCAAAAACTAAAGCAAAGGTGTTAACCAATTTCACTGAGGTGACATAGTTTCAAATGGAGTATCCACTTTTATAAGTATTATAAATAACTAGTACTAACTAAAAAAATCATAATTCCAGTGTAAACAATGTTATCATTACCCCTTGAAGTTAACTTTTTTACAGAAATTTGGTGTTCCTTTAAAGACCTTAATACAGAGTGAAACAGGAATTCCTAGCCAATAATAGACAAACAATAAATATTTCAGTTAGAACCTCATTGTACTCAGTCAGAAGTGCCCACTGCTTATGAGGATATTCTACAATGAATAGCAGAATTTACTGTTCCCTTTCCATAATTATTTTAGATTATTACAGTTACCTCTAATCTACTGAATGAAATCAGCATTATTTTACAAGTTCTTTTCATTTATAAAAGTAGAAAATTAAGGAAAATTTTGATTATTGTATTTTCAGAAAATAAATATCAACTGAAAACATACCTATTAAATCATTTTAAGAAATCAGTTTATTTTGTACATAAGTACAGAAGAGTGGTTCATAAATCTTCCAGTAATGGTGTAATTAGTTTAAATGGTTATTAGACTTCTCTCTTCACTAAGAATTACCATTTTTTATTAGGCAATGCTGAGTGAAATATCTTGTATATACTTTGAACATTAGGAACAGGGAAGAGAGAAAAGTTTCGCTTACTGGCCACAAAATGACAAAGAAAACAACCAGTTGAAAGTTGGAGAGGTTTGTTAAGTAACATTACAAATGTAATATAATCATTTTAATATAATAGTGAGTTAATCAAACAATTTCACTCCTCTATGTTCATCTTCCATTAGAATATTTTTATTTATCTTTTTTTTTTGGAAGATATGGTTTGTTCTAGAAAGGATTTTTAATACTAGAATGTTTCATTAAACAAAATAATTTTGAAAGTTGAAAAATTGAGTTAGAACATCGGTTAACATAACATTATTAGGATATTATTATTAGGCGTGATAATGTTTGCAATTTATTATTGCTTACATGTAATACTGAAACAGCCAATATGTTCTTGAATAATCAAATACTCTTAGGTGTAAATATATATATAGAATAATACTCTGGTTCCAAATTATTGGTTGTTTTTTATTCTTCCATAATTCTAATGTGATTGAAATAATGTTCAATAATATAATTATATTAAGTGGTTCATCTGTATTCAGTTTTTATGTGAATTATTATTGTGATTTTAAAGCTACTACAGGTTAATAGAATGTAACTAATTATAGAGTTAAAATTCTGTCAATTATATACAAATACATAATTTTTCCATGTTTCTGTTCAGCTTATCCTGTATGATATTGTAAATGATTTTCTCTAGTTCTGTAGTTTTCCTCTAGTTCTGAATCTTTTTCCAGCTCTAGTTCTGTAGTTTTTCTCTAGTTCTAAACCTGTTTTCTAGTTCTGTAGTTTTCCTCTGGTTCAAAACCTGTTTTCTAATTCTGTAGTTTTCCTCTAGTTCTAAACCTGTTTTCTAGTTCTGTAGTTTTCCTCTGGTTCTAAACCTGTTTTCTAGTTCTGTAGTTTTATCGTTATCTGAATTTGTTCCTCTAGTTCTGAATCTGTTATCTAGTTGTGTAGTTTCCTCTAGTTCTGAATCTGTTCTCTAGTTGTGTAGTTTCCTCTAGTTCTGAATCTATTCTCTAGTTGTGTAGTTTCCTCTAGTTCTGAACATTTTCTTTAATTCTGAATCTGTTCTCTAGTTTCCTTGTAGTTCTGAATCTGTTGTCTAGTTTCCTCTAGTTCTGAATCTATTCTCTAGTTGTGTAGTTTCCTCTAGTTCTGAATCTTTTCTCTAATTGTGTAGTTTTCCTCTAGTTCTGAATCTGTTCTCTTGTTTCCTTCTAGTTCTGAATCTGTTCTCTAGTTTTCCTCTAGTTCTGAACCTGCTCTCTAGTTTTCCTCTAGTTCTCTAGTTTTGAACCTGTTGCGTGTTGTGCTGCCTTTTGCTTTACCTTAACTGTTTTATCGCTTGTTAATGAATAGCTTGAGTCTGTTAATGTCAAATTCTTCTGTAGTTTTTATTCATGATTTTAATCTATCCTCTTTAGTTCCACATCATCAGAAATTATAGCGTGTCCTCGGCGACATACATCACATGCTCCTTGGTGATAAAACATGCCCCATCCCGAACACAACGACCTGTCTGGCACATTCAGTATACTGACTGGCCTGATCATGGTTGTCCTTTGAATTTGCAAGGTTTTATTAGTGAGTTATAGGACTTCATTTTTATAAGTTTATTGCTAATTTCTAACTAGTGTGATATAATATTATTTTAAAATTCTGAATTATGTAAATGTTGTGTGTTGGCAGTCATTCAAGGTAAAGTTAGGACATATGATTAAGAAAAAACTGTGTCAATAAATAGCTAATTATTCCAAGGTTCACTACTTCATGTCACTAGTCTTACTACTTTCTTAATGAAAGAGTATGTAAGCATTGTTTTGAACTGTTATCATAAACATTTCCTATTTCAGATGTATCTTAATTTGAAAATGTTATTTTAATTTCATAATTGTCTAATTTGTGGAAATTACTCCAATTACCTTTCCCCTACATTTAGTGAGAATGCTTAATGTTGCTTACATAACTTGTGTAAAATGTATGACATTTTAAACCTTTGTAGGTTCTGTTTAAAAAGCTCACTAAAAATTCAGATTCAAGTTCATTATTAAACTTTAATTCAAAACAAATTGTAGAGAAATAATGGGTTTTCAGATTTTATGGAACAGATAGATTCTGTTCGACGACTGGCTTTAAATGAACAACCACCTGAAAGAAGTCGAAACTCTCCCACTCTAATTCACTGCAGTGCTGGAGTTGGACGGACAGGAGTGGTGATGTTGTGTGACATTCTGTTTTATTCATTAGATCATAATGAGGTGAGTGTCACAGTTATGTTGGATCCTCATTTATTTATTTCATCTTCTGGTGAATGACATTTGATTTTCATGAAACTGCTGAAATGTTTATCAATTAATATGCTTGTAGAACAGTGGAAAACATTTACTTATAAACGAGTGTATACATTTTTTAATTCATCCGGTTTTGTCAATTCAGAGAACTGGTTTTAGATTATCTGGTTATTTTTTTGTGTACTTGTAAATAACACATTCATGGTGCTTCAAAAACAAATGTGTAGAATTGAAAGACATATATGATACAATCTAGAAGACCTGAATTCAAGAATTTTTAAAAGGATCTATCTTTATGTTATTAAAAAGACATGTTTGTGTTCAGACTAGTGCTTGGTTATCAGGTGTCTTTTACATACAGGGTGAACTTTAAACATCTAAAACCTGTATGTAAAGATTAAGAAACCTGTTGTTTATTTACAGTAAAACAAAAAATAATAATGTTTATTTTAAACCAGCATCACAATCACTGTCATTTTAAAAGGTTTCCTTTAAGAATTTAATGTCTGAGAAATTTGTTTTTTTTTCTCTCCATATATTCTTTTATATGATCAGAGAAAGTAATCAGGTAACAAAGATGTCAAAGATGTACAGCCACAAGTGGCATGTAAAATATTAGATACAAATTTCATTCTATGGTAATTTTATATGTTATATGTAATAAATACGTGTTTCATAGCTCAAAGAAGGAAGAAACAAACTTCTACACTAATACACAGTTTTATGCATGTCTTGCCACTTTACATAAAAACATTCCATTTAAGAAAATACATTATTTCTTACAGTAACTAAACAACTTCAATTTTGGTTGTAAAGATCGGTAATGAATAAAATATAATCATCATATATACATGTGGTAAGAATTTCATTAGTGAACTGATATCTCTGTGTGTACTTGTTGCATGTTCCTAAATTTCTTTGTTTTTTCTTTCACTAAAGACTGTAGATATACCGAAGGTGCTCACTCAGTTACGACTACAACGAATGCTCACTGTACAGACGCTGGCCCAGTACAAATTTGTATATGCCATTTTAATTCAGTATCTTAAGAATTCTCGTCTGATTTAAGCTGTCGCTTTTAACTAGAGTTTTGTGACAATTATGTTTTCCCTTTCATGCTCAGCAAGTTAATATGCTTCACTTATGTCACGAATGTCTGTATACTTAAGAGGCAGACCATTGAGATTGATGTTGGATTGTTCATATTTGCATGAAAAATGTTATAATGTGTAGAATCGTCTTTTTTTTTTCAAATAATTTCTTTTGTGATATATTTTCAAAACGTTTTTATGTGCTCTAACTATAGCTAATGCACCTTAAAATTAATTAATTATAAAAGTTTTTAATTTGGTCCAAACAATTTGATGTTTTTTAATTTACAGCAAAGGTTTTCAGAAATTACTTGGCAGTGTGGATTTTTGCTATTTTGGTGCTTTATAACTTATTTACATATAAGGTATTGACCAAACTCTGCCAATGGACAAATTTGTTTTTAATATTCTTTCTTACAGTTTTTATTGGTAAAAAGCCAAATGTATATACAAATATTTTGTCATTTGACATAAAGCTTGTTTAAATAACAGACCTCTGACTATTTTTGAGAATGGTATGGAACATTTACTTGTTTTCTTTAACCCTTCATAATTCTGAGATACCAGAAGAAAATACAATGATTATGTATGGCATTGGAAAGAGCAATCTACAAACATTGTGGCCTGGTGGTTAGGGGACTCAACTTGCAATCCGTGGGTCATGGGATTGAAACCTATCACTGAACTTGCTCGCCCTTTCAACCGTGGTAGAATTCTAATGTGATGATCAATCCTACTATTCATTTGGTAAAGAGTAGCCTAAGAGTTGGTGATGACTAGCTGCCTCTCCTCTAGTCCATCACTTCAAAATATTGATCATATAGCCCTCAAGTAGCTCTGAACGGAATTGAACAAACAAGTCTGCAAAATGCCTCAGTCTTTCTTAAACCTAATAATAATGTTTTTCTTCAGGCAATTCATGCTACCGGTTGATTAAATAAAATTACAGATAGTTATTTAGTGATTTACTACAGTTGATCACTATCATTCCTTTAAATCATCCAATGAAAATAGTTTTAACTGATGAAATTGAAAAATATAATTAAGAGGTGATTAAAATAAATATTTGTTGCGTTCTTTAACATTTTTGACTACCTTCATCAAACAAAAAATTTTATGGAAAAAATTATAGTTTATTAAAAATGTTGGGTTTTTCTTTGCAGAATTTTTTGTTGAAATTCGTTATTGCTAAATATATTCAGAATGAAAAAAAAGTAAATCAGTTTTACTCTCACCACATGTTGAATCATGATGTGTACAGATAATTTTTAAGCATTTTTTGCTGGTCTCAGAAGAAAACCATAACGACTAAATGGGAATGTAGCTAACTCACAGATAGTATATCAATAAAGTGTTATTGGAACCAACACAGTTCACTAACAGTGAACAAGTCTCTGTTCAAACTACCACCATCTAGTGCTTAGCTTATGTATATAAGGTATCTCTAGGATATGAAAATTCCTTCAATGATGTTGAGTATGAATAAAGGTTATTTCCAGTCTAATGATGTTTAACTCTCCTAATCTCCTGGGAGTAAACACACCACAGTGTCCACAAAATAAGAGATGTAGTGCTAAGAGGTCTAGAGATGTGGCACTCACTTAATTAAATCCTGTAGTTCAACTAGCTTCAACGGAATTATTTATCAAAAGCTGTAAAAAAGTTATTTAATGGTGTACTATTTTTGTACCATTTTGTATACTCTACATTTAATTAATCCAATTATCCATTGTATTTTGCACAAACTTGTATTTAGCTAGACACTAGTTTAAGACATAACCTTAATATTTAGATTTAGTTTTCATGTTCACAATAGTTAAAAATTCAAATATTTAATCACTTCTTTTTTTTTTTCAGAATTTATAGATTAATGTGTTTTCATTGAGCCAGTTCTGTTTACTGATTTTTAACATTATAGTTTAATGAATGTAAATTAACAGAGAACTGTATATTTGTTTATGTGCATGATATTCTGAAGTTCACAGTTTGTGTCTGTGTCCAAGATGTCAGGGTTGATTGTTGACCATCCCCCCCATTGATGCAGCAGTAAGTCTGAGGGTTTACTATTCATAAAATTGAATTTTGATATTTGCAGTGAATACAGCACATATAGTCCAGTACAAACTGACATGGACCCATACATTTTCCATAACAACCAAATTTTTGTTCGAAGGACTTCTGTAAGATATCAATATTACGTGAAAAAATTCCCATAGTTCACATGTGGGGAAGTAATTTTTGAGACAAGTCAAAATACATGCATGTGATATCCTTGAAAACGTCAGTTATATAATTAAGTTTTGGAATATATGGACATGGATTGTTTTTGGAAATAACAAAATGTTCCTCCATGGAGGACAAAACAAGAAAGAAGAGAGAATAATAATTCCAGAATTTAAAACAAGATCAAATTCCATTTGC